GGGAGCGGCAGGCCCATTTCCACTTTGCAACCTGGAGTGACCTTATCTAGGTTCATTCAGCCTCTGTACTGCCAGCACCTGCCCAGCCTCCTACACACACACACACACACACACACACACACCCTCTCTCTCCCTCTCCCTCTCCCTCTCCCACTTTCTCAGATATTAACAAGCCTCATCCCTGTCTCTTTTCTCCTCCAACACTGCATGTCCTACTTTTGTTCTTCTAGTTCAGCCGTGGGCAAACTACGGCCCACGGGCCGGATCCGGCCGTTTGAAATGAATAAAACTAAAAAAAAAAAAAAAAAGACCGTACCCTTTTATGTAATGATGTTTACTTTGAATTTATATTAGTTCACACAAACACTCCATCCATGCTTTTGTTCCGGCCCTCCGGTCCAGTTTAAGAACCCATTGTGGCCCTCGAGTCAAAAAGTTTGCCCACCCCTGTTCTAGTTTCTTCCTTTCCCTTAAATCTCCTTGAGGAAAAAAATACCAGTGCCAGTCAAAGGAGCCCAGGGCTCAGAGGGCACAGCCACAGGCAGGGTGGCCAGCAATGCCTCCCCCAGGAAGGGCTAGACATATCAGAAGTAGAAAGCCCCAGCTGCTCAGATTCCTAGGGCCCCAGCCTGGACCAGGCTGCTTCCCAGGTGGGCAGCCTTCCTGTGGGACTCGGTATCCTGGTGTCTACACTACATGTCAGTAGCAAGTGGCAAACTGTGTCAACAAGCCAAGAGGCAGGCTCCTACTCCAAAGAGAAAGTTACACTGGGGTCATCACGCGTTTCCGGGTTGGCCTCTGCTGCCCACGTGGTGCGGGGTGTTACCGCGGCTCCCAGCTCTGCTTGCCCGGCAGCATCACTGCAGAGCTTCTAGCACCGAGGCCAGAGCCTGCCAATGGTTCTGGGCGAGCTTTGGAGTTGAAGAGCTGTAGCTTTCTCCCTGCAGCCCGGCCTGAGGGCCACTGGCCCAGCCATCCCAGGACAAAGGCAGCAGCAGCTGGTTTACTCCGGGCTAGTGGCTGTGGTTCTAGCACAGGCTTTGAGAGCAGGCAAACCTGAATTACAAGCTTGGCTCTGCTTCTTACTAACTGCCTGTCGAGCTAATTCCTTAGGCCTTGGCTTCCTCATCCAAAAAGTGTGGGTAACGTTTCTACCTAACGATGGGCGGTGTTCCTGGCACAGAGTAGGTATTACATATGCGATTCCTGCCATTTTCTTAAAATAACTCCTACTTACACGCATGCAACCATCAATCAAGCATTCTTGAGCAGCACTAGTTGTGAGTGCCGTGACTACTTCTCCCACCCTTCCCGGTCCTGCGAGGCCCTGGCCTTCCCACCCACGGCTGGGACTTAGACCTGCTGCCACAGCACCCAAGGCAGGACGGTGGTGTCCGATCCCTCCAGGACCACCGGTACCAGTGCTGATAACCAGTTCTCAGCAGCCTACCACATGCTACCACCTGCCTACCTCTTGTCTCCCTGCCCAGGGCAGATTTGGGCAGAGTGGAGTGTCGTGGGCCAGGGTGGTACTAAGGTGTTACGTGCCTCACCTGGCATTAGTCACTTGGGCATTAGATTTCAATGGTAAAGGCCAGTCCCCGAATAGCTCTAGAGCAGTGATGGTGAACCTTTTGAGCTCGGCGTGTCAGCATTTTGAAAAACCCTAACTTAACTCTGGTGCTGTGTCACATATAGAAATGTTTTGATATTTGCAACCATAGTAAAACAAAGATGTATATTTTTGATATTTATTTGATATATTTAAATGCCATTTAACAAAGAAAAATCAACCAAAAAAATGAGTACGCGTGTCATAGGTTCACCATCACTGCTCTAGAGTATACACAGGGTAGCAGGGTTATGCAGGAGAAAAAGCACACGCCGAACTCGAATATCAGTGGCCCTGCCTGACCAGCAGTTTGCAATGATGTACACCCCGGGTGCCTCAAAATTAACTCCTGCCACGTGAGAGGACTTAGCACAGCGCCCAGCCCCCGGCCTCACTCCCTCCTCCCCTCATCCCATCCTAAGTGTGAGGTCTACACATCTACGGCTCCCTCTTCTCCTCCTCCCCACCCTAAGTGTGAGGTCTACACATCTACGGCTCCTGGCGAGGAGTGTCACAAAGCTTTTACAGAGCTGCCCAGGCTGGGAGTCCAGATAACACCCTGCTTGCCCTCTGTCTTCTTTCCCTCCACGTGTCCTGCCCCAGGCCAGGCCCTGCTGTCCTTCCCACCTTCTCCTATACCCAGTTCCTTCCTCATAACCCGTCTCCATCATCTCTCCTTTCCAGCCATTTGCACAGCCGGGTGCCGTGGCCTTGCGGAGTCCTTCTCTCCCCTGCCTGAGGCAGCAGCCCCAGCACCCGAGACCGGTCCCCTGTTGCCCCAACAAAGCCCACATGGAGCCTGAGAGGGAGGAAGAGGGGTGCAGTGCTTCTGGACTGGGGTAAGCCCTCTGGAGAAGACTGTCCGGGCCGCCCCAATCACAATGGCAGGTGGCCATCTCTCCCCTTCCACGTGCCCACATGCCCACGTGCCCACGTGCCCACGTGCCCACATGCCCACATCCCCATGTGCCTACATGCCACCACTTACCCTTTCTACCTGTAGAAGCTGCTCAACCTGTCCTTGGACCAACCCCAAGGCCTCCTTTCAGCTAGCCTCACAGCCAGCTCTCACACCCACACCCCAACACAGAAATGTTATCTACCCAGTGGCTTGCCCCTCTGTTTCTCCAAGCAACCCCGCCCCCATCCCAAACCAGAGGGCCCAGGTCCTGTGCGGGGTGTGGGAAAAGGTACCCTGCAGGAAGGAAAGGGGGATAGGGGCACAGAGGCTCCCACCAACTGGCAGGCTCTGGGATAGGCTGAACACATGTGCTTCCAGGCTCGTCTCACCTTGAGAGTCTCCAAGACATTCTGTGCCCTCCCCGCTGTGTAAAGACAGGCTGCTTCAAGCCTCCGGTTTTGAAGACCGGAAGAGGGAAGAAGTGGCAGCCCAGGAGCCAGGGAAAATTGGAGGCCGAGCACGACTGTAAACTTGGGGCTCCCTTTCCTGTGCCTACAGTCCATGCCCCTCACTTGGGTTGCAAACAATCAAAAACATCTGCTGACTCCCCTGCAGGCAGATCCCCGAGCTGAGCGCTGTGGGCAAATTCCAAGAAAGGCAGGAGAGCATGCGGCACTCCAGGGACAACCTGTCCGCTGAGGACAACTCTGGAGGGGAACGACCGAGATGGGCGGTCTGTGGTCCAATAGTTGACAGAATGACTATCTTGAATGTCCAGGTGGGAGGGGACTAACGGGACACCGCATGGGCCAGTGGCAGCAAAGATAACAATGACCACAAATACATGCTTCCCAGAGCACGTACGTGTGCCAGGCTTTGTTCTAAGTATGCGTGTGTGTGTGTATATATACATTATAGTCCCTATAGCCACCTGATGGAGTAGGCACTATTATTCCACTTTACAAACGGGAAGAGCAGGCACTGGGAGGTGAAGTTCACACAGCTAGGAAGCAGCAGGGCTGGGACTCACATCCAGGTCCTCTGTCCCACAGTCCATGCTCCCCCTGCTCATGAGAGCTCCCTTCCCGGTGCAAAGGAAAGGGTGGGGGCAGGCTCTCCCCCCGTCCTCCCCACAGGCACTAGAGTTTGAGTTCCTGCCCCCTTACAGCCCTGTGACTCCATAAGCCCTCACACCTGAAATACACTCTGCTCTTCAGATTTACAGACTCGACTCCATGATTTCCTGTGAGGGCTGACGCACTTAGCACAGGTCCTCTCCTGAAAGGTCTAAAATGAACTAGGGGCAGGGGAAGAAGGACCATCCCTTTTCTGGAACTGTGTAAAGATCTCTCAGCAATCTCGGCTTTCCTACGTCCCCCTCAGGGGAGTGCAGAGGCCAAGAATACTGAACATCTTCTCCATCTCCCAGCAACTGGACCGTCTTATCTGAGGATCCCAGAGGGGACCGAAAGTTAGGCTCCCCCTCATTGGGCAGTAGTGAGGGTGGTGGGGGAGCAGGAGCTGATGAACCCCAGGGCTTGAAGGCTTGTGCTGGCAGATGGGAGGAGAAGGACCAGATGGGTCTAGAAATAAGGTTTCACCAAATAAAAAGAGATGCTTCTCCCCAAGTTATTCTCTGCCCACAAACACAAAACAAGAGCAAACTTAAAACTTGTGATTATAGGAACCACTCTGAGGGATGCTGTCAAGGCCTGGGGGGTGGGGAGAAGGGGGCTCCCCACCCTGAAGAGAGAGATACCGAACCCCTAACCTGAAGGGCCCAGGTCCTGCTCCCGGCTGGCTGCCCTAAGTGCGGCTGAACCCTCCAGAGGGGAGTGAAGATGAAACAGAAAGTCAGAGCCCTGTGACCACCGAGGTGACAACTACTGGTGGCACCAAGGTGACATTTTTAGGCAGTGTCACACTTTACAGAAGGGTGTCTCAAGAACACTTGGTCATACCCAGACAAGTCCGCTGGGGGGTGGGGAGGAAATGTTGAAGGAAGAGGTTGAGCGTGGGGCGGGGCTGAGAGGGGTACTGATAACATCTCCTAGGACCCAAAGCCCTAGCCGCCTGCCCCCCAGCCCCGGAGGCCACTCAGACCTGGTGGGGGCTGCAGGGCTGGTGGGCAGGGAGGTGCTTAAGCAAGACCCCCAAGGAGCGAGCCCCTCCCCCACCCTGAAGTATGAGAGACGGGCAGTCCATCTAGGGAACATCACTGCACCCCCCTCCCCACCCCCAATAAGCGAGGAGGCGTCCCTCCCAGCGCGCTGGCCCCAGGCTAGCCTGGGTGCTTCTCGGGGCATAGGGGGCAGCTTGCCAGGCAGCCGCCCCCGGGAGGGTGCAGATGCGGCGCGCGGGCTCACCTCCGCCGCAGATTGGGAGGGCTCCCCGGGTCGGGGCTGCGTCACGGGAGCCCCTGAGCTGCAGCTCCGGACACTGGACCTCAGGACCCGCCGCAGCATCCGGGACATCGGCCGCGCCGCCATGGAACCTGTGGGCCTGGGCAAGACTCGCCTGAGTAGCCGGCTTCGGGAGCACTCTAGCCCGGGACTCGCCGCCCTGGGTCATCCCGGCCAGGGCGGGCGGGGGCGGGGCCAGCGCAGCCAATCGGCGTTGGTTCCGAGCCGTGCAGCCAATCGGAGAGGGCCCCGTGCCGCGCGGCCTTTGGGGAGTTGTAGTCCACGCCGTCTGCTCTTGTTCTATGCCGGGTAATAGTTTCTAGGGTTTGGAAAGCACAAGTTCAAACTCAGGGGAAATCCGAGGTCTTTTCCTACAGGCTTCTCTGGCTGTTCTGGTCCTGTTCTTAGGCCGTGATGTAACTGACACAACGTTCTGTAGGCAGAGCAGGACTAGGGACAGGTGAATAAAGCATTGCTTTGGGTGCAAAATTTAAATAAGAGCGTGCCAATAAAGTAGGTGATCAAGATAAGTTGTATTTTAATGCAATATTTTGAAAAGTCAGATTCAATGAAAAAAAATTATCAACATTTTATGTAAAAACATGATCTCACCCTGCATGCTTATGACTCATCCCACTCCTTCTACTGTAGTCTAGGCCCTGGTTGTAGACGGTCAGCTGCCTCTTTCAAGGTATACTTCTCCACTTGTGCTCCCAAAGAACGTTCACAATCTTGGCCTCACCGTTTTAAAAAGGAGAATATAGAAGAAGTCATAGACTAAGTGAATATCATTTTTGTAATGCTTCCTACCCTCCAAGCAAACTCCATGCTAAGCATCATGTACTACTACAATAATCCTGCATTGAACAGAGCATCAATCTGGCAGCTGAGGAAACTGAGGTTTAGAGAGGGTAAGTAATTTTCCCAAAGTTGTATAGTTGATAGATGGAAAAGCTGGGATTTAAACCCAGGACAATCTGATTCCTAAAGTCAAAGTTTAGTATGTGTTAGGAATGGATGGGGAGATCTCTCTCTCTCTCTCTCTCTCTCTCTCTCTCTCTCTCTCTCTCTGAAACAAAGAGCTACAGTCTTCTAAGATTTTGGATAGTAACGCACATTCAATAATGAATCTATGTACTAAGAATCTTTATACTCAAACCAGCCTATTTATTGCATCCAAAATTCTATTGTTGTGGAATAGCAAGACTCAAACATCGACTGGAACACACCAACTGCCAAGTGCATATTAGGAAATGGGTATAGAGTTTCTGGTCTTGCAGACTTGACAGACTAGTGGAGAGGAAAGAATAACTGATTGTAAAACTGACTGGAACAAAAGGCAGCAAGACCATCAAAAAATCTGAAATGATTTTAGCCTTAGACTCAAGATTTCTTATGATGTTATTCAAAATATAGACAGTACATTACAGGGGGTGAGGGTGTGTCTGGATATGTTTGAAACTGGTGGGGACAGGCCTGACAGAAATCTGTTTACAAAGGGCCTGAGGACGACTGAGGACTGTTCAAAGCTCTGTCCACTGCTGAATTTGATGTCTGGATTTGTCAGGAGAACTGGGTGTGGGGGTGAGGAGAACAAAAGCCACATTTTTGCAAGTGAGAAGTCACATGACATAATGAACTTGATCCAGTATCAAGTCCTTAGAATTTAGAGGAAGTGGACACTCTGTCCTGAGCTATTGACGTTTCATATTACTGCTATAACAAGTTGCCACACATTGGTGGCTTAAAACAAAATTATTCTCCTACAGTTCTAGACCAGCGTTTAAAATGAGTTGTACTGGGCTAAAATCATGAGGTTGGCAGGTGTGCTCCCTCCGGAGGCTCTGGGGAGAAGCTGTCTTCTTGGCCTTTTCCAGCATCCAGAGCTGCATTCCTTGGCTCAAGGTCCTCTTCTTTGTCTTCAAAGCCAGCAGCGCAGCATCTTCTCTCTGACTGCGTCTATCCCATGGCCTGCTTCTCTTCTGTCTTAATTCTCCTTCTGCCTCCTTCTTATAAGGATATTTGTCCTTGAATTTAGAGACCACCTGAATAACCAGCCCCCCTGTCTCTTGTGTCCAAATGGATCTGGCCATTCGGAGGCACAGATAGGAGATCAGAGAGCAGAAGGAGAGAGAATTGAGAGTACTGCTTTCTCCTGCTCCCTGCCTGTTTTGATGTGACTGTGGCAATGACTGTGCCCTTCTAGAATTACAGCTGGCGTCACACAGCTCCTCTGCAATGAGTCCAGATCTTGCCAGGCCCAGTAACACCATGCCTAACCCTGTCCTTTGGGCTGCGGTGGGGTTGTCTTTCCCCTGTTGATTGCCATGAATGCCTCCATATTCCTGTTGGCCACTTGAACCTTGCCCACATCTCAAAAATGGCCTCTTCAATAAAAAAAAATAAATTAATAAATAAAGTAAAATAAAACAGGTAAGTATGCTGTCTGATCCTTGCCGGTTCCATGACAAATGCAAGACTCAAGGACTTCTCCCTCCCATAATCCCCTAGCTTCACCTTTGTTAAAATAGTGGCAATTGCAACAGAGAGACAGTTTGTTTGTTTGCTTGTTTGTTTATTATTTATTTATTGATAAGCCCTTTGAGGGTGGTGCCAAATCTAAACCATTTGTAATCGTAGCACCTAGCATTGTGTTTGATGCACAGTAAGCTCCCAATAGGTGTGCATTACATGGTACATTTTGTATCCTTTACTTGCCTTTCTAGTCAGGTGGCTGTATCAGTCAGGAGGAGACAGATTGTGCTGTTATAACAAACAACCCCAACATCTCAATGGCTGAAAACCACACATGCTGTTTTTCATTTGTATTATATGTCCAGCAAGGGTTAGCTAGGGATGGTTCCCCATCAGTGTTGTCCTCACCCTAGACCAGTGATGGCGAACCTTTTGAGCTCGGCGTGTCAGCATTTTGAAAAACCCTAACTTAACTCTGGTGCCGTGTCACATATAGAAATTTTTTGATATTTGCAACCATAGTAAAACAAAGATTTATATTTTTGATATTTATTTGATATATTTAAATGCCATTTAGCAAAGAAAAATCAACCAAAAAAATGAGTTCATGTGTCACCTCTGACACACGTGTCATAGGTTCACCATCACTGCCCTAGACCCTGGGCTGATGGGGCAGCCAATAGCCACATGGAACATTGACAATTACCAAGAGGGAAAGACTACAGCAAAGAGCAAAAGTGGCTCCTGGAGCTTCTTCCTGAAAACGTCACTCATCACTCTGCCCAGAGCAAGTTGCATGGCTACATCTAATTTCAAAAGGAAGTGAACCTTAGCCTTCCCACAAAGAGTTCCTGGGAAGCAGAAATCTTACACAGGAACTAAATTCCCCTTGTGCTCTAATGTGTCATCCAGGCTTTTCCATTCCTCTGGACAGCTCTTCCTTTTAGTCATCCCTGTGGCTCCCCTTGCATACTGCGATTAGCCCCGGTGGCCTTACATGTCGGCACATGTCAACCATACTCCCAGAGCCATGAAGTGCTGATTTTAGCACTCTCTTGTTTAGAGTCTGCCATCAGCAAAATTAAGAGGAGAGTTTGTAATACCTCTTTAATTTAGTGGTTCTCAAAGGGTGTGTTTCTGAGGTCAACTATTTTCATAATGATACTAAGATTCATCTGCCTTCTCATGCTCCCATGGCTGTTCAGGGTTTTTTCCCACAGGTTATCCGATCGTGATTTCACAACAGATTGAATGCAAAAGCAGGTGTGACAATCCAGCTGCTTCTACTAGACCTGACATTGAAGAGATTTGCAAAATATACCACAAGCCACCTTTCTATATTTTTGAAAATAGTTATTTTAACGTCATGTTAACATGTAATAGGTATCATTGACTTTAAAGTATTTAACTCATTTAAAAATAATACATTTTTCCTGTTTTAATTTCTAATATGGTAAATATTAAGTGAAGTTAATGGATACAGTAAATAGATGTTAAATAACACACAAGCAAAGATTATTTGGGGTCTTTGATACTTTTTAAGAGTATAAAGAGTTCCTGACCAACAGTTTGAGAATTGCTGCCTCAATATATTCTCACTCATCTTCTGGAGAACCAGCGGCAGCCTAATAGTGCTTTGTAATTGCTCTGTGTCCACATCCTTCTCCCCAAACCAATGAAAATAAAATAACCTCCTACCAACTCCCTATTGCCCTGGGCTCCTGACGTGAGCTCCCTGTTTTGCTGAGGGGATAGTGGTGGGATGATGGCTTCAGGGATCCTGCCTAGCAGACCACGTTCAGTGCAGAGCCCCTTGCTGGGGAGCAACCCCACGTTTCACATCTAACCTCTGCCACTCCGTCTCTTTCTCCTGGTGCAGGTTTCTTGTCAGTTGCAAATCATAAACAGGTCTTCAGCTTTGCTGGGATCATTCAAGCATACAATGCTGAGCGGGTGTTCTGTTGTTTTAAGATATTGTTGGGGAGTCAGGAGTGCCTTACTAGAGTCACTGAAGCAGTCTTTCTCCCACATGAAAGAGATTGTAGAGATTAATTTCTTTAGATCTATTAAGCCTCTGGTAACTTGCCGTAGGGATTTGTGGGTCCATTATAAACCATGAATACTCCAGTCAAATTAGATGAACTGTTTCTCAAGAATAAGGAGCCAAGCAACATAGAGGGCACTGGGGTAGGTATAATAATGAGCTGGGGAGATTAAGAAGGCACGGGGATTGCCAACTAGGATGGGTCCCTGCAGGGCCCCACTACCAGGGTGTCCTGGGGCCCTTGGTGTCTGGGAGAAGAGGAGGGTGTGGAAGGGCACTGAGAACCTTCTTCAGAGATCTTCTCAGACCTTTGGCAGACCAACCCTCCATTTCTATTATGAAACCACCCTGAACCATTTTCCCTTCTAATCTCCTTCCAAGTATATGGTGGTTTTAAATAGGTTCTTGAGTTATTAACTACTCCTCACTTCAAAAGGTGGAACCTAGCCCTAACCGGTTTCACTCAGTGGATAGAGCATCGGCCTGCGGACTGAAGGGTCCCAGGTTTGATTCCAGTCAAGGGCATGTACCTTGATCGTGGGCACATCCCCAGTAGGATGTGTGCAGGAGGCAACTGATCCATGTTTCTCATTGATGTTTCTAACTCTCTATCCCTCCCCCTTCCTCTCTGTAAAAAATAAATTATATA